ACAACCCAGTGACCTGTGAGCAATAAAACCCAGAGCTCCTAATTCCCATGTCTCCCCAGGCTCACCAAGGTCCCACTCACTCTCATCCCCAGCCTGGAAGATTTGTTCTTCCCATTCCCACTGGCTTGTAGGACCCTGAAACAATCATCCAGGTTGCCTGTTTCACCAGTACCTGACCTGCTGTTATTACAATAAAGGGCAGCAAGTCATCTGGCTCTGAGAAGGGATAGGACTCAACCAAGTAACATTACTAACAAACTTAAGTGTCTCCCATGGAGCATAACAGCAGAACAACAAATGTTAGAGTGATAAGTATATATCCTCTTACAAACAAAACTGAGAATATCCTTATTATAATACTTTCAGCTTTTGGTTATTTTGGTATTAGATCATACAACATAATTTAACTATTTTTGGGTATTCAAAATATTCTGTTCTATTTTTTTTTCTTCAAAGTAGGTAAAGAATATATAATTGCCACTTAGATGGCTTGCTTCTGCTCCTTCTGAAATCAACAGGGACTCTTTCCTTTGAATTCAATAGCTTTAGCTTTACAGTTGCATTAATAAAGCTGTGGGTCTGGACCTGGTCCAGAAATGGGAAAACGGAATAGATTCATAATATGACCACTGCCTGATCTCAGTTTATTTCTGTGACAATAGCATTAAATTTAAGGTACTAGCCAGAAGTTGCTTTATTCAAATGTTACATTTTAATATAGATTTTTATCTAAATGTCAGACTGTTATGATTGGTTAATAAACATTTCTTTAAAAAAAAAAATAAAAAAATCACAGTATTCAGATTCTAGATTTCTTTTCTATCCAGAGATCACATGTAGATTTTAACAGCGGTTTAAGTTCATTATCATATTTCTTGCTCCTTCTGGCCCCCTAAGTTCAAATTCAGTCTGATCATTGCTGCCTCCACAAGTTAAAATGCTCATCATTCCCAATTTAATCAAGTGAGAACTTCATAATCTAATGAAATTCATTAAATTAAACAGTTCTTTTGCAGTCCCATTGTGTCTTAGCTGGCTGATCCATCAGGCACCTAAGGAAATCTGCTAATGAGATTAAATAATCAGATACTTGAAAGATTGTATGCAGATTGCACTGTCTGAAGCCTATTAAAAAAAGTAGGCCAGTTTATGCCCCTTATATTCTATTATAACCCTCCCCAATTCTGAAGCCTCTGACACTGAACACACAAATTTCAATTTTCTTGTGTTTGAAATTTGCTATAGAAAGCTTCCATCGAGGTGTTTCATCAGCGTTATTTCATTCTTAGAGCAAGGATGAAGGCACTAGAAAACCTGACATTCTCCCCAACATCATCATGTGTCGAATTCAGCATTTTTAACCTATTTTCTTTTACTCTGGGTCTACCGTCAGCTTGCTAACTCTGGTGCACATCTCCAAGAACAAAGTCATCTTTGACAAAAAGCCATATAGGTACCCAAGAAGCCAAGTTCTTCGCTGAAATAGGCTGAGTAGCTCTACTGGGAGCCATGAAACTTACTGATTTTTACCACATGGAAACCACCCACTATCCTTAATTGCTGCTGTCTTTTCTGAACCAAGTGGTTCTGATTTCAGACGTGTAGCCTTGGGGACATGAGGGAGCCGCTATATGAAACCCTTTGTGAGATACCCCTAGAGTGTTGTGATACATAATGTCATGGAAAATTCATCTATCCCCTTCTTCTTTAGTTACTATAAAAATGTATGATAGAATTACCAAGAAGAGGTAGATCCAAGTATCTAAATTACCCAGCAGAAAGCTGTAGCTCTGTGGTTTTCTCACAGGAACTAGTACAAAGTGAAATAAGATTCCATCTTGCCTCATCTTCATGATTAGAGGATACAGAGTATCTGAGCTGCAAACATAACGCAGATAGTTGTTTCTTCTATTTGTAATACAGGATGAGACGGGCTTTCAAAAAGCACTTACGGTAGAGTCACAGCTCTTCTTTGCTAATGCATGCTTGAAACTCCCACATCAGCAGGCTTTCTGTACAGGCACTTCTGATTCATAGCCGATTTGTACTTGGTATATGCATTTGGTAAATACACTTATAATGGTAAAACTATGACCACATCCAACTAGAAATAAACCCTAACTTTTTTAAACTATCATTTTGAATCATTAGGAGAGGCTTCGGTATCCATAAGCTAGAGGAAATACTCCCAATTCATTCATTACTCAGAATAAACTGCTCATAAAGACATCATCTTTCGGTTTGAAAAGCATGGGCAGAATGCTGCCACACCTGGGAAGGCAACAAGTACCCCTCTCAGAGGCAGAGTGTGGGCGCCATGCAAGGGTGCTTTTGGGCAGGATGTAATTGAAGGTTATCAGGGAGGAAAAAAGCTCCCAGAGGAGCATAGGCACAAGGCAGTAGCCTTCAAAATTCCCTGTGAGTTTCTTCAGGTATGCTAAAGAGCTGCTATCATAACAGCCCACCACTAAAGCAACTATTCTGTGACCCTAGACCCAGTCCCATGTAAAGCGAGTTACACGAGCAACAGCACTTACCTATTCAGGATCTTGTATGACACACCCATATTCTCTAGGATCTGCAATATGGTGTAAGAAGATGGAGGTGATGGAAAGAACACAACAGCATCCATCTGATCAAAGTTGCCCGAGAAATGGCCTTCGCCAGCTTATGAAAGTTTAAGACTGGAGACGTTTTCCTGTTCCTTACCAAATAACTTTTGAAACTTTTCTAGTTTGCAAGGCAGTAAAAAACCCCAAAACAGTGTTTCTGGGAAGACTCGTAACCACTCTTACTGCTAGTCTCCTAGTTACATACCACTCACCTCCCCATGCTTGCTTAGCCATAGCAGTGAACAAAGAGATCAGCCTTTGCCCATTTCCCTTTCCTGGTAGTAGATGGACCTATGTACCTGAACAGAGTTATTGCAGCAGCTGCAGCTTTTGAGGCCTGTGCATCTCTCGCCCAGTGGCTGCAGCTGCTTGCCAGCATCAGGCCAAGCAACTCTTGGTGCTCTGCCACCCTTGATACCCAGGACAAAAAGTTAGAGGGGAAAACAGCTCCAAACATACAGCTCCCCACTCCAAGCAAATTCAATCAATAAAGCTTCTGTGTTCAGCAGTAAGAAAATACAGGCTGCAAGAAATTAATTGCCTTCAAAAAAAGATAAGGATGCAATATTAATATAACCAAAGGTATCAGCTGTAATGAATCATTTGGCTTCTCAGTTATTTGACTGACTTGAACCATTTTAACTTGAAATGCTTTTATGCAATGCATATTGGTTTATTTAATCTAAGTAAGGCATCCACTGAAAAGATGATTGAATTTGTGTCAGTGTGCAAGCAACAGTAAAAGTGAAGAGTAATGCTGAAGAGAGCAGCAGAACAAAGTGCTCCTTTCTTAAGTCATAAACCAAGATGTAAGCATTGAGAAATGGTTTGATGTCATACTAGGAGGCAAGCATTGCACTGACAACACCAGAGTCAAAAAAGCCACTTAAGAAAATAGAGATGACAGTATTTTTGAGACTGGGAAGGAATGCATCTGTGATTTTCCTTTGTCTTTGTCTTTTTTTTTGTCTTTCCTGTTTCAGAAAGAGCTTTTTCTTATTCAGAATGAGGATTAGGCTACAGCTACAAAAACATTACTAGTTTCTCTGAAATCTCAAACAATAGAATTATTTCTCTAATTTAGGGTGCTTTGTACTTGCCTGATCATCAGCCACACAGACTGCAATCTTGCTTATTTTAGTCTGTCAGGTGGCTCAGGGTACAAGCGGATGTGCAGATGCGGTGTCAGGGTGACCCAGTCTTGCACACAGGCACCAGCCTCCTTCATCGAGGAGTCAATTAGCACCAGCTGGAGATCCAGGCAGAGACTGAGGGGCTTGTGGGATACTGGATTATTTTTAGCTGAAGCATCTGCAAAAGTTGATGAACATTTATACACCCAGAGAGTTAGAGCAGGGGACTGAAACCATCCACCTACCAGCAAAGGTAGTTCAAATTCACATTCGGAGATGCGGAAACATTTGCTTACACAGACATTAGTTATTATTATGTCTATTAGCTATTGTTCTTACTGGATCACTCATGAATTCAGCATGAATAGAGGAGAACAATGCCTTGTCATGTACCTCTGCAGAAGAGATGAGCAGACAGCACCAGCAAGAATTTTGTGAAACTGAAGAACTTATGGAGAAACAAAATGACCATGGATTGTATAGGTGGAAGAGAAAAGCATGAAAGACACATGATAGAAAATGTCAAATATGAAGAATGCCAATGAATTATGTAATCCAGCATTTTGTAAACTGACCCTTCACATGTTTAATCCTTCGCATATATGGTAAGTAGCTCACTTTCAGAATATTCCAGCAAGCTTTTGTGTTCCTTCAAAAGATAGAAACTCTAAAAAAGTAGATGAATTGGCCAATGTGACCGATTAGGTCAGTGATACATCCAGGAATGGGATGTGACAATTTCCACTTCCCTCTTTAAAACAAAATAAAGCCAAGAATTGGTTGGGTTTCTACCTTTGCCAAATATGAGTGTAGCTCAGCTGAACCCTATCCATTAGGGCCACACCACACTCAGTGAAATTTGCTTCACTCATAAACACAATTAACTGAGGATGTCACTATGTGTTGGTCTAACATAAGACCATATTTTTTTTGTGATTATTAATTTCTAAAAAAATCCACCAAACAAATAAAAAACTACAAGAAACTCCACACCAACAAAACCACTTTCATTTGTTTAAACATCTTTACCTAGTTCTACTGCAGTGACTTCTTTTGTCTAGTTTCCCTTCTTGCATACTGCCCAGTTCTACTGTGTACAGGTATTTTGCAAATACAACTCTCTGTAGCTATTTCTAGAAGACACTTACTGAAAAGTAGTTTTGTTTTACTAAGAAGTTCAAGTGTGTTATTTCTGTACTACCAGGTACAGTGGTTTTACTTTTAAAATACCATTTCCAAGTTTATCATCTCACTCCGTGACTTGTTATTCGTCTGGATAAACATGTTTGAGATCTGTGATGGTATCCCTGGTGATGGTTGCTATAGTGCTTCACAGGATTTTATTTCTGCTCATTCCTCAAAAGCAGGACTTTGATTCTCTGTGGGAGGCCCAGAGTTGCACTAGTCTCAGATTTTATTGTCTTGGCTATTCTGCTCCCTCTAGCAACCACCCAGACATGCCACTGTCATCTTTACCATATTCTATCTGCTCTGCTCAAAAATGCACATCACAAATCATTTTCCTCCTTTCTGTTGAAATCTATTGAAGTTTTCTTTGGTTTCTACTTAGCTTCCATCTCAAGCACAGATTATTCTCTTCTAACATCATGCACAATACACTGAGTTTTTAAAATGTCAGTTATGTTCCAGGGTACTTCAAGCGACTTAAAAATAGGAATCGCAAAACTACTGTGATTCTAATTGCCTCAAATGTTATGCTTTCTACAGGAGAGACTGCCTCTATGCAGTTCAATCTCAGTTATTTTGCTAAATGCCTTCCCCAAACCCTTTTTTTATTTAAGAGCTTTAGAAAAATTGCCAAGTCTCATTTCTACAAAATGACTGACAGAGTGACTACTTCAGAGGCTGTGTCAGTGGCAATTAGGCACCAAAATATATTTGGGAAGCTGAGCCTTGCTGATGCATTTGAAAAGGTTGACCATTTCTACTAGCTTTGCTTATGTTAAAAGGTCCTTTCAGCAGTGTGTTATCCAAAGTCAAAGCTGAAGGATCATTCCATATAGCAGAGGCAGAATCTGGTTCACTGAAGTTTTAAAGTCAGGTATTCAAATTGTGGTTTCTAAAGAGCATATGTATAAAACTTATATACTCACAGCAGATCAAGCAGTAATTTTAAACGAGTCAGCACAGATATACACATACATTTTATGTAAAATAGTAGTTACTGCCTCTCTTCCGCAGGATTTGTATCTTCTGAGTGACTGAGGAACAGAGAAGCATAAATGAAACCTCTTACCACCCAATTTAATTTTTGAGCTTTATTTGACCAGAGGATAAATTTGCACAAAAAATTCAGAAATGGGCAGGATGTAACTGAAGGTTATCAAGGAGGAAATAAGCTCTCAGAGAAGCAAAGGCACAAGGCAGTAGCCTTCCAAATTCCTTGTGCAGCTCTTCAGGTATACCAGACAGCTGGCATCATAACAGCCCACCATTAAAGCAACTATTTTGTGACCCTAGACCCAATCCTAAATAAAGCAAGTTACATAAGCAACAGGACTTTACCCATGAAGGATCTTCCATTACAGACCTGTCCTGCCTAGGATCTGTAGTAAGGTGTAGCAAGGTGGAGGTGATAGGAAGGACACAAGAGCATCCGTCTGATCAGAGGTGCCTGAGAAACAGCCTTCTCCAGCTCATGGAAATTTAAGATTGGAGACATTTTCCTGATCCTTACCAAATAACCTTTGAAATTTTTCTAGTTTGTAAGGCAGTAAAAAAACCCACAAAAGGTGTTTCTGAGAAGACTCATAACCACTCTTACTGCTAGTCTCCATACTAACAGTTACATACTGTAGTAGTTGCAGCAATTTTACATTTAAATCATCTTTATCCACCACAATAATTCTCTTTTCAGAACATTAACTAGTCAGTATGTGCTGAAAAAGAAAAGAAGTAAGAATTGCCTACCTGGAGTGTAAGTGATGACAAGCTCTGTTAGGCTATCAGAGTTAACCAGAGGCAGTTGTTGATAGAGAGCTGCTCCACATCTTGCCCTACTTCAGGGCCAGGGTAATGAGTTCTACCTGGGAATCACTGATGGTCATTCAACACTCTGGGGAAAACCAGTACCAGTTACAAGGTATATCATGTAGGTCAATCCAAGCATGTCTACATGACATAGAACTGTACCAAGGAAGCTAAACAGCTAAGTCAAAAATCCCACCAATGTACTGTTCAGCCTGGGTGAACACATCTTGTTGATTAACAGTACTAATTAATTTGGATAGCTGTATATAGCTCTGCTGCTGCAACAGGAACACTTCCCAGTGCCTCACCGAGGCAGAGCTTAAACGAAAGATAAACCAGAGTGTTGATAAGTCAATGAAAAAAGTGTCATCCATTTTTAAGGATGTCAGTCAATATTCTTCTATTTCAGCTAAAACCAGAAACTCTCCCTTAATGACCTAGTTCTTCTGGTTCACATTTCTATCCCTGCGTAAATTTGCATCATTCAATACTAAATTTGCATTGGTCAATGCTAAACTTTCCAGAGACACTAAAGCTTGCATTTATAAACACATCATAACAGATTTACTGTTGGACCACTTATATTATGTGCGTCTCTTGGAAACACCCAATAAAAAATTATAAATATTCCAAAGAGGTTTTAAGTACTGACAAAATAAATGGACCCAGGGCGTTGGAAAAAGCTAGCTATGGAACAGGCAGTCACCAGCCAAGCTTCCTCGCATACCTCTCCTTATGTCTCTGAGCCCTGACCTGCAATAGCTTTCTTTTCCAGGGACAGGCGCCCCTCTTTCCACCACCACACATGTCTACATGTGGCCAGGCAATCATCCCCGAAACACCAGCTACCAAAAAGGATCAGGAAGGTAGCATGGCCTCAATAGATCAAATACGTAAATACATGTATATACATACCTACCTATGCACACATACTGGACTAGCCTCAGGGCTTTTAATAGCTGAGAAAGAAAGAAAGTTAGCAGAATAAACATAGACAGTGGGAAGGACCAAGTGGCAAGAACAAGTGTGTGGTATGAAGACAGCAAAACAGCAGTTAAGAACAGAAATAAATGGGATGTGCATGGCTTGTTGAGAGGGCAGGTACATTCATACACTTTGTGGAATACATAATATGGTCACTGGCATCAGAAGGCAATAATAACTACAAAAGATAGCAGCACTTAACCTGTGTTACTAACCAGGTAGTGGTGAAAAAGAGATTGCACTGGAAGACAGGTGGCAGATTGCTCAGGTGGAACCCCTCTTCAAAGCATTGATAGATGAATGAAACAAGATTTGCTAGCCCTGACTCAAAATTAGAGAAGTAGCAAACAAAAAGGCTGGGTTTTTTTGGGCTGTTACAGAAAACCTCACGAGAATGAGGACTTAACTTTGCAGAAAACATTCTTTTCTTGATATCCTTTTACTCTTGCTGTTGTTAATGCAACTGAACATTCTTTGAAGCTGAAATAATTTCCTTCATCCCGCTTTCCTCCTGCTTTGCCCTTGTTCTTAGCCTGGTTGAATGAAAAATTTAAATTAATTAAAAATATACTTGACAAAGTTAAAGCTCTTTTATACAATGTGTTAAGAAGAAATATGACACATGGTTATAGTAGTTTTGAGTTTAAGAGATTTTACCTTTCCAAGCTCTGCAGAATTTCCCTATTGAGAAAACCAATTTTCTGTGATTACAGGGGTATCTTCAGAGCACAATTGTCACCAAATTTAATTCATTCCTCCTTCAGGAAAAGACCTGATCTTCCTGACTCTCCTCCCATTTCAGTGAATGTTTTTTTTTTTTAATGTGAAAAAACCCACCCTATTTACATTCTTCCCTTTCAAACCTTTTGTCCTTGTCCAATAGGATTTCTACATGCTCACAATTCCTAGGATATTTCCTCTGTATCTGTCTGTGGTAGGCTGAATTGGCTTTGGGGGGTTTTATGAACTTCTATACCTGTTCCTAGCAATACTGGCTTCAATGTCTCTGCTTACTGATCTTATCTTAAGCCATTTACCGTTTCCATTTTATCCTTCAATTAGACCCTTCTCCAAACCCATTCTTTCACATTCCTTCCCTAGGTTGTATAAAGGAAAGGTCTTTAATCTCTCCTTTCCTTTAATTGAAGCTGTCCTTCCCAGCATGTTTTCCAGTGCAATGCTCTGGTTTTCATTAAGCAGTGTCAGCAATACTCCGGTTGCTGTTGCTTTCTGTTTAATGTGGTTTTGCAAGAATGATAACAACTTTTTGTCTTTCCAACAGAAAATAGAAAGAAAGTTTTAATTTATTAGCCTCATAAAATAAAGCATTGCAGTACTAATGTCTTATAAGAACTAGGGTAAGTAAAAGACAAACTTCTAAGTCCCAAACAGGTAATGCATTACTGAGAGTTGCTATCTGATTAGACACCAACACACTGATACCTTCCAACTGTAAGTGGAATGACTGCAGGCCAACCCTGTTAGGTACACGACATGAAACAAAAGAGCTGGGAATGAAACAAGGAAAGTTTTCTTGGGTCATATAATTGTGCTATCCAGGGACACAGTACATTTAAACAGTCACAAAATCCTGATCCAGATCTGCATAGATTGAGGAGCTAGGATTGTCAAATCCCAGCAACAACTTAATGTACATAGAGGGGACAATTTAAACATTCAGACTATGTGATCCACTGGAAATATGGCTATTAGCAGCCACTGAGGATCTGATCTGATTAAAATAAAACCAATAATCTGTTTCCATAAACTGGAGGTCTTGGCCTCCTGCAATCAACAGAGCTCTGCTATTATCACCAGCTATGGAGCTAATATCTTCTCAGATGATAGCACACACCAGCACTGATAACAGAGCAAGTTCCTAGCCTGACTTGACTCAAATGTGCAAGATTGCCAGTGCTTTTGTGGTGTGCAGTTTCCTAGGATCACACTTGCAGACAGCTAAGTTTGCTCTGAGACAAGTGATGAAAATTAAAACAGCATATTCAATGTGTGCTGCAAATCACATACAGCTGTTGGAGTAGGGTAATACCTGGTTTTCTCATAGTTTGTTTTTAGTTAAAAAGACAAGCAATTATTATTCCTGAGTGGGAAGGGGGAAGGCGAATGGAGGAATGAAAAGCAATTAAAAGCTTCTCAAGAAATTTTCTAGTGTTTGTTCTTGCGTTGTTCCAGGAAGACACTTCAAAGCCAGAGCTTAAACATCATCTTGAATTGGAAGCAGAGAATTTGGTGATGTTCAGAGTGTAATCAAGCTCAGTGTTACAGTGAGATGTGGCACAAAAACAGCTGTTTGGGACTTTAATGAGTCAAAGCTGCTGCAAAACCTACAGGGTGCCTACGAGGCCAGCACAGCTGAGACCAAGGTATTTCTACTCAGACATGTCATAGAAATCAGGTTACAGGTCCTTCAGATAGTAAGGGCTCTCTCTCAAACAAGTAAAGGATTAACTGTCTTCCCAGGTATTATTCCCATTAATAATTTCCTTCTTTGTAGGCCTGTAAATACTCTGCCTTTTTCAGATTTAAAATGCGACCAGTGATCAGCTTTCCCACTTGCCAGCTCAAATGGCCAACAAGAGCCCATTTTTCCATCAATGCTGTACTTCTCAGCGTGTGGTCTCAGATGAAGGGTGGCTGCCTAGAACACCACCTGGGAGTGGGAACCCAAACAGACTACACAGATTTTGGTTCTCTCTGCTCTGGGAATGTCTGTGCTTCCCAAAGTTGGCTCTGACCAGAACAACGACAAGTGTAGAACTGTGTTCAGACACTACTGCTAAAATCCAGATGAGCCACAATCCTAACTCACTGGCCATAGTGTCCTTTCTGGGGACTGTCCCCTGTTGAGTTCCTCCTATTGTGCGCTCCAGTAGATATAACAAGACATCTAATGAGTCATTAGCCCAGGATTTTGGAATGAATAAAAGTGATTGAGATTCAGAACTTGTGTACCACGCGGAGGTTTTGATGTTGCAGGGTCATTTTTGGTGTGAATCAAAGTTTGAAACAAAATACGTTTGCTATATATTGAAAGTATTTTAAGGATTTTGTTTTGGACTGCATAAAATATTTAATATTTATCTCAATGATAGCTTTTTACTTTGACATTAAAATATGAGAATTTTAAAGCATATAAAACTTTAAAGCCGTTAGAAGGTAATTAAATTCTAAATGGTGAACACAAGTGATAAATTTTGGAAATGGAAAAGGGAAGATTTGACCATTATTGGAATATCTCCCTGACTTCTTTTGGAGTGATATTTCACATAAACTAGAATTAAAAAAAGGCCTAATTATGAAGCAGCATTTTCTAATTACTAAACACCATGGTGGAAATTTTCTGTTCCACTTCAAAAGGAGTGCTGTGATGTGCTATGGTGAGTAGGCCCCCATGAAACATAACTTGGAGTCAGGGACATTGACAAGGAAGGCTTTTATGGAAAGAGTGTTGATCTAGGAGGGTTTCAAGATACAGAGCTGGCTGCACCAGTTCTTGATTCATCTTTTTCCAAGTTGTTTTTTCTTGTCTGGCAGGCAGCTCTTGCTGGGTTCATTTACAGTCAAGTCCATTTGACTTTTCTGAAAAAAGACTGTGCAGAGCAAGTAGAGGAAGACCCCCACTTCCTTTCCTCTTTAAAGCAGTGTCCACCATGGGAAGTCTAAGATGTTGTACTGGTCACCAGATTTTTGTAGATAATGCTTTTCACATGTTGTGCACTGTCAAGTAACTGGCTTAATTCATGCTGCATGGTTAGTGCTGCATGAAGACTAATCTAGTCACAAAACCCAATAATTCCTGTTTGTGTCCGAAAATTCTTTAGATAAAGGGCATACCACTTCGCCTTTTGTTCCCAGCTAACACTACACTATCACGATGTTTCCAAATGGTTATTTTAGATGCTAAAGGACTTTTGTGGACTTTAAAAGTGGCTTTGTGATGTGATGTGAAAAAAGTGTTTGGCCAGAAGATCTACTTCCCTGTGTGTTGTTATGATTTTACTCTAAAGATATTCGTTAGAGCTTTTCTTGATTGTTATTTTCTAAAAGTATTATAAACTGTGGAATGAGAAAATTTAAATAAACCAGCCTATATTAGCCAGATTTCAAATACTGCAGTAATTAAAGGCAATGGCAGTTTTACTTAGGAACTTCAGTTTTGACAGCTATGCATTTTAACCTCATATTTTGCTCAAGCCTAAGTAGCCATTCTATGTTCACAACCAAAAGTACTACAATATGCCCTCTCCTGCTTAGTGAAACCTGTGCAAACTGCGGCACTTTCTGAAGTGACTCAAAGACTCCCTGATGCTGGAATGTGACTCTCTTCCATCCTTCTCCCACTGGAAACAATTCTCTAAGACAAAGTCTGTTGTATTTTGCCATCACTGGTATTTGGGCTGTGCAGTCTTCATTGTGATATCAGCTTTATTGTCTTTGGATTTTCTTTTTTCACTGAAGTAATTTCCCTCCTAGCCTAGGCTACACTGGGGAGATGGTATCCAGGGGAAAAAAACCTGCTACTAGATTTCTGCAGGTATGAAAAATAAATAAGAACATAATGAATAATGCAAATTTTAGCTTGAGTCAATGAACACACGATGCAGTTCAGGAAGCAGGCAGAGACCAACGGGGGCTGTAAACAGTTTATCAGTGACTGTTTCCCCGCATTTATCAAGAAACTCTCCTTTTCCAGGGAAGGTCCAAAATGACAGTGCAGCTGGGGTGGGAGGTGGTCACTGAGAGAGCCCAAACCAGACTCTGGGATTTCACATGAACTTCTGTGCCATGAGGGCAAGCGAGCGATAGCTAATTAACAGTGTAGATTAGTACAGCCATATACAGCATATTATGGACACCTGGCATAATTTCAGTGCTAAACTCTGGTCCATGTGCTGTGACATACTTATTTCTGGATGCCTATATTTGGA